AAACTCCAAATTGGATGAGCGGTAGGTGGGAGGAAGATGAAAGCAATCCTGCTCTTGATCCGGGCTGAAGCAACACGGCACGGGATCCACGAGGCGTAGCAAGAGCGCGGCAGCAAAAAAAATAGAAAGCGATGTCCCGAAAGCATTTTAAACAATGAAAACTTCAGAGAAGTAAGTAAGCATCATTATCAATAAGATCATCATTGTCCATCCATGTCGTCACCATCATCATCATGAGACGGCTTCTGCACCTTTAACCCCACACCCTAAACGAAGATCAAGAAACAGACCTGGTACGGGTTCAATATAGGGGCCTGAATGATTGGAATAGGGTTTGGCGGGGTATAGAAAAATTACATAGGGACCATGAAGGAATACAGTCATCATTCCGAATCTATTCCCTCATTATTCGGGTTCGTGGGTCTATCAGGTTCTTGCCTTTTTTCCCGAACCTCTTCCCTCAGCCTTTGTCCTGAGGTTGAAGGCGGTTGAAGTTGAAGCCCCTTCGCATTTCCCTCCACAAACGAGTCTTTCTGAGCGCATGCTGCTGCTCGACTAGCTTTCTGCGGCTTGTGCCGGGCTGGCTGGGTGCACATCGCCTGGCAAATGGCCCAACACGGCTTCTTCGTTCTGTACGAAGGCGTGGGCCCGTCCCCGAAACAGTCAGAACAAGTGAGTCGTGCCCTGTCGTGCCCTGCCTGCCCTGGCGGGCGGTTCTTTGGCTGCCCTAAGAGCCGCGACTGGCAGCTCCGCCGGGGCGGCAAAGGCCTATCTTGCAGGGCAGTCATATAAAACGAGTTTTTTCAATCAAAAACTGGTCGGGTTGGAAACAGAAACGAAGCTTCCGGCTACACTGCCTCCCAGCCGACGACATGCCGATGACCAGCTTGCTTTTTATAGACTGGCCCGCCACCGACTGTCAAGCGGACACACCGTGAAGCAAACGATGCGGGCCCGTGCTACTGACCAAAGTAAGAAAGGTTTGAAGACCCTGCTTGGCACGCCAACCCAACCTTGAAAGACCGAATTTGTCATCTCAGAGTCCCCAGCGAAAAACCGGGCACATGGAACCGGGCCTCTTCCCGGCGGTGGAGCTCCGCAAGCTGCTGCGCGCGCCGCGCGCGGATCTTCTTTGAGGCGTCTGGGGGCAGGTCCTGGGGGCCCCGCAGATTGGGAGCTAGCCGGGACAAGGGCCCCTCTAATTGGGAACGTCCGAAGCTTGCCGAGCCGCGGAAACCTTGGGAACCCCTGGCCGCATCTTGCCATAGATGTCTGCGCGTACATCCTGGCGCAGGGTCGGCAGTCCGCTTCCGAAGGGCCGACAAACCCATGAATCGCATGTCTTGAACCCTTGAGGCTGTGATAATGTGAGTGTACATAGACATAGACATAGACATAACTGTGTATGCATGTATATGTGTATATTTTTACACACATCGTATGTATGTGGATGCATTATGTATGTACTTTGGCATGCAGGTTTAACAACTTGGTGTGAAGGCTGCTTGGACGCTGCTCCTCTCGTGTCAGCCGGCCCCCGTGGCGAACCTGGCAATGGTGGAAACTTTTGCAGAGTGAAAAGCCTCTGAGATGCCGGGGCCAGAGCCCACATCTCTAGGCGAATGCTTGGCCCTCGAACTCATTACATTAGGTTATATCATACTATGGTAGAATATAGTATAGTATATGATACTATACTACACGATATAGACTCCAAGGCACTTGGCATCTCCCAGACAAAGCGGAGTTGGGAATGCGC